TATATATATATATATATATATATATATATATATATATATATATATATATATATATATATATATATATATATATACATATATATATATATATATATATATATATATATATATATATATATATATATATATATATATAAATATATATATATATATATATATATATATATATATATATATATATATATATATATATATATATATATATATATATATATATATATATATATATATATATATATATATATATATATATATATATATATATATATATATATATATATATATATATATATATATATATATATGCTCTAAATACTAAAAAAAAAAAAAAATGTATACATATGTATAATAAATAAGAAACTTACATAATGCGATTGTTTATGTAAACTAATAATAACGCTAAATATAAAAAATGACAATAACATAAAAAATTATCTTTTATTTTATGACTTATTTCTTGAATTTTAGTGAATGATTAAAAACAGTTCGGGTCACCTTTAAGCAAGAAAACTAAATTATATATATAATATAGAGAAGAAAAATATGTTAAATTAAGGCTTCTGTTACTTTGTTAGATATTTTTTAGAGTAAATGATTAATTTATCTTAACCGTCTTTGTAGCGTAGTTTGTTAAGCTGTTTAACAATGTTTGCTGCAATACAATCCCTGCCAAACAGTTTCCCTTTTAATGTTTCCAATGCTTTAAGAGAAGACTTGCAAGCAGAGGTCATTGTATCCAATGGGTGAAGATGGCAGTTTAGTTTGTTTAATGATTTCTGCCACTAAGTATTTAACTTAGTGACAGTTGCATGGTTTGCTACCACTCTGTCACTTATCATATTACTTATATTAGCAATAATTATACTTCGTACTTCAATATATTGTTGCTTGTAAAAATTACTATACAACTTAGCAAGGTGATCTACAGATTGTGCAAAATGACTGATAATCATTAGCTGTACCCCAAGCAAGTTGGTCAACAGCCACAACCATGCATCGTGTTTTTGTTGTAAAGTGCACAGCATTTACATGGCCACCCTCTTGTGTAGTAGCATCAAAGCCCGAGGTCATATTTTTTGTTGCAATAGCTATTTCAGCAGTCTGCAGATCTGAACTCCAAGCTCAGGCATCATCTGCTCCACAGTTGTATGATGCGGAATTTCAGTTGTTGAACATTTATTTTGAAAGTATACAAGTAAAACATGTCCTTTAAGACATACCTGATATGAAAAAGGTAGTTTAAGATACTCTGATTTCAGATGATTCAACATTAAACATTTCTTTGACATTTTAAAAACTCTAGGTACAAGTGTAAAAATTTAATTATATTATTTAGAGCACTAAGCTGTAAATAAATAAATTATATTTATTTAATATAGAGAATAAAATAAATATAGTTAGGAATTTACAAAATTTAATTGTAACATGTTTAATAATATTAACGCTGCATGTTTAACATGTTACAATAACCCTTCTTGAAGGAGAGTTTTTGTAGACGTTCATAACTTATAGAATAACAAAGCAAATATAATATATAAATATTTATAATTCTATACAGTATATAATAATAAATGTAATATATTTAATAAACTATTAAAACTAAATTAATTTTAATAGAATATAATTACTATTGCAATAGTCTAGCATAAAAATATACTTTGATTAATTATTTAATGAGTAAATAATGATGAAAATATTTGATAAAATAATTTAATACTTTGAAAGAATAATCAAAAATACTACTAAAAGTATAACTAAAAAATTATATATCTTCAAAAGATTCAAAAAGGATTCTTTTTAAGAATCCACAAATGCCACAAGGTTGTTTATAAAAAAACAGCAAGTTAGTAAATATGCATTTTGCACCAATCGGAGTTTCAAAAACTATCATGTGACTACAAGAAATAAAAAAATGCGAACACAGCGTAACAAGGCAAGAAATCCAGCATTTCATAGAAATACCTAGGGTGCTTAGGGAAACCCAAAACCAATGTGCGCTACACATGATTGATATAAAAATTGTACCAATATTAGACAAATAAATGATCTACAATACCTTAAAGTTTCATAAATTACCTGTCATAATTTACAGAGCTGTGATTCATAGATAAAATGTGCCAACTTATGATGAAAAAATGTATATGCTTATTTTTTGTAAAGTAGTCTGAAAATGTAAAAAAATTTAGACAAATCTTTTTCCTAACTACGTGCAAAGTTTCAAAAAAATTGGTTAATAATTAGTGGTACAGTGTCGTTTGCCCTAATACGTGTCTTGGCCAAATTACAAAAATCGGGTCACAGATTTTAGCTCGTGTTTTTACGGCAAATTACGAATTTACGCACGTACCTAATATATATATATATATATATATATATATATATATATATATATATATATATATATATATATATATATATATATATATATATATATATATATATATATTATACATTTTTGATAAAGTAATATAGTAAGATAACTTCGAGAATATTGTTTTCAAAAAATTTATTTTTGGTTTATATTTTTTCTATTGAGTTTTTGATCGTTCATTTTTTCTGTATTTAATGATGGTTTTAAAAATGTTTTAAGAAAGTACATATGTTAATAAAATTTTTGATTTGCAAGTATATGTATAGCCAGATATGAATTTTTAAGTAAAAAGATCAAATATTTTTAAAGGTAATGTAACTTGAAACCTCCAAATAAATGTTTCAGTTCTAGGGGACAAGTCTTATTTCAGAATCTTTTGGAGCCAGAGGCTAAAATTTTCAAGTAATTCTTAGTTTACTAAGCACTCTCAACTTTATAAAAAATTAGCAAAATCTGAGATGTATGGTGACATGACCTAGATCATTTGACATGGAATTACCCTATCAATAGTGTTATCTTTTAAGCTACTCCTAAGTTTATTTACAAACAATCCACGTGTACAAAAACTTGTTCACTTTCAACAGTTGTTAGTTGGATGGTTTGAAATAAAGTCTCCAAGTTAAAAGTACGTTTTTTTTTGTTGACTCAAAGACAGAAAATTCTTTATTGAGAGATTTTATACTGAGATCTTCATTATCGTGTAGTAGTTGATGTAGTGAGTTGATTATACAGCCAAATTTAATCAAAATAGATGCACTATGTAGTTGTACTAACACAATAGTTAATTGATTAAACAACCAAATTTAATTACAATAGATGAACCATGTACTTGTACTAACAATAGCATTATTAAGTTCCAGTTTAAATTCACTCACCTTTTTGCTTACTACCTCAACAGCTTTTTCAGATGGCATACTCCCGACGACATTTACATGTCCAAAATTATAAAGGCTTCCACTTTAGTGCACATTAATGTTCATATAGTGACATAATTTAATTGAAGTCAACAGTTAAGCAAATTCTGATTTTGTTGTTGTACTTTATTAATTTCTTGTTTTCGAAAATCAATAAAATACGTTTAATAGTTTAATACTTTATAAATGTCATTGCAATTACTTTGCATAAGTTTAAATGTACTGCAAAGTTTTGAATATTATTTCTATATTTTAGTATTCATATTGAAGAAAAATCAATTTTATTTTATTATTTTTTACTTCTTATAAGGTTGCATTTACTCTGCTTTAGCTTTAGTTGTTTTAAGGGATTTTTTATTTTTATATACATATATTGTGTTTATGCAATAATATAACAAGAAATAAAGTAATTATTTTATAGCCGGTAATAAGGTTTTCTTTTTTAAGGTTACTGTGAAAAAGAATGAATCTCAACTAACTGGAAGAATTCTTAGGCTTTCGTTCAATTTTAATGGAAAACAAGATGTTTTGTTAAAAATATCCGGCATATGTAAGTAAAAATATCCAGCATATGTAAATAAAATTATCCATCATATGTAAGTAAAACTATTCAGCATATGTAAGTCAATTTACAGTCAGTTTTTTTTTTTTTTTCTGTTTTTGTCGCAATTTTGTTTCATAGATTTTTGCAATGTGTTGTTTGTACTGTTGCATTATGTGTTTTAGATTTCAATTAGTTTTTAGATTTATAGATACTCTTAATGTAAGCAGCCTCATAAAAGAATTAATTGTAAATATTTTCCAGCTGTTTTAAGAAAAATATTTTCCAGATTTAAAATATGGATGAAAATATGGATCCTAATGAATTTTGTAAAAAGTACATTTGTGGATATTTGATACTACTAAAAAAATTTCTTCATATAGTCTAAAAAAGATATATATAGTAATTGCTTTTATCTCATTTTTATCAAATTCTCTATTTTAAAAATATTTCTTATAAGTCCTATATTACATGGTATCTTTATCTTATGCAAATTCCAATGACTACTGTACAAACCTTCCCAGGAAAGGCGTGCGGTTTTTCGTCTTGTATGACCACACGCAAGTATATTATTTTAGACAACTCGAACACGGTCATTTGCAAGTTTTATAATAATCAATGCTGAAAAAGTTTTAACAAAAAAAACAAAACTAACAAAATAAAAAGAAATTGAAATAGAAAAAAAATAAAAACAAATTAATAATTTAAATAATTTGTGTACTGTTTTTATTTTTGTTTCTTTAGAGTAGTTGTTACATTCAGCAACAAAATTAGTTTAAGCAACATAAGTAATCGAAATTTTCGATTACTTATGTTTAAGCAACATAAGTATTCGAAAATTTCAATTGAAGTAGAAAAATATCTAGAAGAATAATGTGGATGTTCAAATAATATTTAAAACTTTAATAACTTATAAAAACGTGACAAACAACTTTTTAAAAATGTATTGTATTAAAAGTATAGCATTTTGAAAAACGTTACTAATGGACCGTAAAAATGCGCGTTAATTTTATTAGGTAATTAAATTACCTAATAAAAATTTTTTATTGCTTGATTTTAAAATTAACGTGCGTTTTTACGTAGCGTTTTTCATAATGCTATACTTTTTATAAAGTACTTTTTTATAACGTTTAAGTGATCTGTAAAAGTTTTGATAAAAGATAATAGTTCACAAATAAAATTTACAATTTTACAAACTTGCTGTTTCCATCAGGATTGGAAAATGCGTTTTCTTGTGGTTCCTCATTTTAATTCTTATACTGGAGAAATAGAGAAAAGTACAACTCTGAATTCATTAAAGGTTTTCTGTTATTGTATTAGCACAATAAAATATATTATTTACTAAGCATTATAGCTGTTTTTGTGATGCAGTTGCGGGGACTTATATTTTGACTTGCATTATAGTGTTAAACCTTGTGGAACTAATTATAAATAAAAATTTAAAACTTTGATTGAATTTCTGTTAAATACTTTATGAAGTTTATTGTGTACTGGAAAATCAATAGTAAATGCTTTGATTTAAGGAAATCTAAGGTATGCACTTTAGTTTGCAATGATAGGTAGATTTTTTTTAATGCTTTATTGCAAGGTAGAGTAGCTTTATTGAAAACAAATTCATTTAATGATGAGGCAGGCATTCTTAATTCAATTGTGTGAGGGAATGTTTTGATAATACTAGTGGGCGGTTGGAATCACAGTAAACATAGTTTAGTTCATTATCACATTTACAGTATGGATGAAATGCTGAGATCTAGTGTCATGTCGAGGTAGTCACTATTTTCATATTATATTGGAAGAATAAAAAGTCATTCTTATATATATATATATTTTTTTTAAGTTTTTATTTTTTGATTAGTGATTTTTTTTTTCCTGTTTGTTGATTCTTATTGTGCTTTTTTTTTGAAAAATTTTATGATTGAAATATGTTTTTTAATTAGTTTTTTGTTTGTAAAAAATTAATAACTATGATAACGTTTTAACTTGTTTTAGTCCTTATCAGTATAAATGTCTGATAAAGCTAGAACAAACAACTGACTGATAAAAATTTTAGTAAATGATGAGTCAATTTTTTACAAAAAAACTTAATTTATGCTAAAATGATAATGTTCTAAAAATTGTTTAATTTAAGCATGGGTCTTAGTGATAAAATTTAAGTTGAATTATGAATTTAGTATGTGCCAAATGGGTAAAAAAAAGTGAGGTTAAAGTTTCTAAAGCATATATGTCCAATATTGAAAGTTTAAAAAATTCAAAAATAATTGTTAAACTCTAAACATATTTCAAGATAATCATATTTTTAAATTTATTTCTTACATCTAATATCACACTAATACCCCCCCCCCCCCCCATTAAAAGGGGTAGCATAGTTGGAGAGTTTAATGTTAAACAGTAATTTATAATGTTTGAGAGTTAGGATTAATTAAGATTTCTGTAGCTACCTAAAAAACTGTCTTTTTTTGAGACTTCCTATCAATAGTTTTAAAAGAGTATCATTTTATATATATGGCTTTATTTTTATTTTCAAAAGATTTAAACAAGAGACCTTTGATCTATATGAAATTGTTCAGATTTCTTCCTACTCACCCTGTATCAAAACATCTTTTAAAAGTTTAAAGAAGAATGGATTTTTATGTTAATATTTTTTAAATGACTTTGAAACATTCTCTAAGATCTAATAAATTAAACTAATAAAAAAGTATAGGTTAAACTAAAATTTACTCTAGGGGTCTTCAACTTGTTTTGTTGCTGTTTGTTTTAGAGTTTATTTTAGGGTTGGAAGAGGGTTTTTTTAAAATAATCAATAAAATTTTATTACATTTCCCTGGTGCTAATTGCAAAGTACTGCTGGATTTTGTGAGCAGATTTTGCAGCATTTCTATAATATTGTCTACATTTATTCATTGTATTTTATAATAGAAATTCTAAAAAATTAGAGTTATAGAAATTCAATGGTTAAATTTATATTTATAGTATTTAATTGGATATTTAAGTTTCAAGTATTTTAATGTTATGTCATCTATTCTAAATTATTGTTAATAAATCATTTTTTGTAATTGTTGAAAACAAAAAAAAAAGCTCAGATAATAAGAGTTCAATTAAGTTAATAGAATTTGCTATCATTTATCTACTTAACTGTTTAATTATCTCTATACTAATTATCTTGACTAAAAACCAGGAATGCAGAGTACCAAAAAGGACTCCGGATTTGAAAGTCACAAAAAGATTACTTCTTTCTAGTTTTTGGTATCCAGGAGCATTAAAAATATAAAAAAGCTTATGGAGTACTAGAACAATCGATTTTTGAACTCGGAGTCCTTAGGTATTGGAGTCCTGGCGGCAAGGACTCATAAATTCATAAATTATCATAAATTTTTTTCTTTTTTTTTAATTAATCAACCAACTTGTTTAGAACTTCTAGACACCAGAGATCATAAAAAAATAAAGTTATAAAACCGGAGTCCTTTTGTGACTCCACATTCCTGCTAAAAACTATATAAACCAATGGAATGATTTATTTATTAAAAAGTTTTTATACCTGACAAAATATTATTACTAATAGAAACCATGAGATTTTTTAATATCACTAATTTGTTTAAAAAGCAATTTAATTCATCACATTTTAATTATGTAAAGTATTTCTTTTATATATTTTTATTTTAAAACATATTTTAGATAAACCTCCATATATACTATTGGAAAACTATTGGAAGCGGTTGCATTTGGGTAGTTTTTCAACAGATTTTTCTGAATTATCAAATTTCATACCAAATTTCTCCACAACCCTGATATCACCTTTAAAAATCTTAGAAACAACCAAACAGCCCTTTCATAAAACAAATATAAAATCAGACAAAAATGGTTGCAGCAGTAATCAATCACTGATAATTGGAATAAATATTGGAGTGTTTTTAATCTTAATGATATGTTGCTTTATCATTTGTAGGAGGTTTGAACTTAAATAATGAGTTTTTTTTTTTTTTGAAAAGAAAATGTGTTAATATATATGTATATATATCAAGCCTTCCCAGGAAATTTTTGTATTGTATGTCCACATATGAATATTTTATTTTAGACAACTTTGTCATAGTCATTTGCAAGTTTTATTATATTAAGTGTTACAGAAAAACTAAGTTTCAAAAATAAAGAAAGTAAAACTACATAATAGGAAATTAAAATAAATTTAATTAGAAAAAAATAAGGAAAAAATTCATAATTTAAATAATTTGTATAGTGTTTTTATTTTTGTTTCTTTAGGATGGTTGTTATTTTTTTTAGGATGGTTGTTATTTTCAGCAATGAAATTAGATATGTTTAGGATGGTTGTTATTTTCAGAAATGAAATTAGATAGTTAGGATGATTGATTAGGATGGTTGTTATTTTCAGCAATGAAATTAGATAAGGCAAAAAGACAAAGCAAAAAAACAAAACAGATTTAAGTTAAAAAGAATGATTTCCAATATTTAATTTTGTTTTTTTAAAGAGAAAATTAAAAAAATAAATTTCTATTTGTTTGTAAAATATATTTGTATAGTTTTAATGCAAGAAGTACATATTATCCCTAAATGAATATGTCTATGTAATGCATGCATATACTTTTATGTATAATTTTTTTTATTATATAGTTACATTTCTTTGTTAATCAGTATTCGCACATTTAGCTTATTTGAATAAGGTGTTTACTTCATATACAGAAATGTCTGTGGTTTGTGGCTTGCAATCTTTTAGTGCTATGTAATTTTGGATACCTGTTCCTTTTTAACATTCGGCTCTGTGCACTTAGTTCTACCTCTTTATTGTTCTGCTATGTTATTGGTGAACAATATTTGACAATAATTATTAATAATTGTTATGCAATTATTAATAATAAATATTAATAACTGTTTACGTATATTTAACCAATAACAAGACTAAAAGGCAGGGGACAGGTAGAACTAAGTTCACAGAGCCAAATATTAAAAAGGAACAGGTATCTAAAACTCCAAAGTGCTAAAAGTTTGGTGATTAAAATCAGATATGAATAGAAAGTTAATATAAATCAATTAAGGGTATGTGAAAAATTTGTAGGCGACCTAATTGTAGCTTTAAAACTGATTGAAAAAAAAAGTATGTGTGCACCTTACTTAAAAAATACACTGAAAGGCTCAAATGGTGTAAGAAATCTGAATGTGAAGAGGTATCTATCATTGTAAAACAACTTTGGTATGTATTTAAAAGAACAATAATTTTAAAAATAGATTGTGGTGGGATTAGATCTGCAGTCAATAATTAAAAAAGGCAAAGCATATATATATATATATATATATATATATATATATATATATATATATATATATATATATATATATATATATATATATATATATATATATATATATATATATATATATATATATATATATATATATATATATTAAAACTTATATCATTTAATTTATTGTTTATTTTAATAATTAATAGTTAATCCAAGTATTATAAATAAAAATAAATTCAAAATAATTACTAAAAGTCCAAAAAATATGTGTGGTAATCTTAAAATCAACCAATTAAAAATTGATTAAATTAAGAATTCCAAATAATTGATGTTTGAGGAAAAAACTGAATAAGAGTTTTTGGAGCTCTTAGGAACAATCACAGAAAAAAAGATGAGACTTAATTGAATTGCAAATAACACAAGAAAGAATTTTAGTAGATGGCACAAGTGACACTAGTTCTTTAGAGCAGTGCCCATTATAGTATTTGTAGAAAAGAGAAAGAGAAGCAACATTATGACAATTTGATGATGGTTGGAGGTTGGCTGCAAAAGTAGGTACAGCTATGTTTACAATGCATTTTTTCACCTTGCCTAAAGGAGAAGGGGTATCATTGGAAGATCTACTCCAGATATGGAAACAGTATCCATACAAGAACAGATTTGAGTTTTATAGAGATAAAGAGTAGAATCAGGAGTAAGAAAGTGGCGAGCATGATAAAAAGAAGCAATCTTAGCAGATGCTAATTTTGCAATGAATTTGATATATGGTTTCCAAAAAGGATTAGAAGTAAGAGTTAGTCCTAAATAACAAAGGGTAGATGACTCATTGACTACATTATGGCACATAAGTATAGGAAGATTTAGATCAATATAGAAAGATCATTAATGTTATTTAAAAAAAGTTCAAGGCCAAGGATAGAACCTTGAGAAAACCCTGAAGTTACAGGAAATGAATAAGAGTGCTATCAAGGACAACTTTTAAACTATGATTGGTAAAGAAGGATTCAATAATCTTAAAGATGTTACCTGATACACTTTAAGAAGAAAGCCTATGGAGAAGACTAGCATGCCGAACTTTATCAAATGATTTATAAATGTTGAGAGCGATAGCCCTCAATATTTCCACATCTTGTAATACAGGATAAAACCTATCGGATATTACCATTAACAAATCAAGAGTAGAACGAAAAGATCAAAATCCATCAGATCAGAAATTAAGTTACTAGATTTAATACGAGAGCTTGAGTGTTTTTTAGTTAAAGACTCAAAGACCTTGCTTGTGATAGAAAGAAGACTAATAGGACAGTTGTTAGATAAGTGGGATAGCTCTGGCCAGAATTTTAAAAAATAGGAATAACAGATGTCTCTTCTCAGTAGGCTGAAAAACAAGACTCTTTTAAGCACTTATTAAATAATTTTGAAAGTATAGATGATATCATCAGAGACATCTTCGATTCTAAGACTATAACAGGTATGTTATCCAGACCACAAGCATTAGAAGAGTCTTAGCAGGAAATCACTTTAGATAAAAATACAAATGTCAAGCAATTGATCAACCTGTTTATCAGTTATGTTATGAAGGGTGTGATAACAGCATTAAGTGATGAGATTTATAAAAAAAATTTTAGCAAGTAATTTAGCTTTGCATTTAGGTGAGATAAAAAAATCTGAACTAAGCAAGAGAGGTGAAATAACATATTTGCCCCCATTATAGACACAGTTAATTTACATGTGTTGGGTCTTATTTTGAGACCCGGCGCATAATCACAGGTCATACTGTGTTGTCTTTTTTAAAAAAAAGTAAATAAAACCAACTCCTTTTAATTAATTTAAAGTTAAAGTTTGTTTATTTTTCAAAATGGTGGTCTTTACAGGGCTTAAAAGCAAGACAAAATAAATTATTTCAGAAAATGGCTATATAGTAATCATTTATATTATTATGACTGAATATCTAAATCAATTATTTTACACATACTAACATGGTGAGTCATTTACCTCCCCTTGGGAGCTTTGGGGAGGTATATTTATTATATATAGAAATAGATGTCTTAGAATCTTAAAACATGAAGTTTAAGTTTGCTAGGCTTCACAAAACATAAGCATAATATTAAAAAACATTAGAAAAAAAGCAAAGTTAATGAAATTTGTAAGTTCTATAATTTAATTTAAATTATTTTCTTAAATTAATTTAGTTAATTAATTAAATTTTCAAACTGTAACTAAGTGTATTTTTTTTTTATTTATATTATTTTTCTTTTTTTTTTCTATTATATTATTTGACAAAAAAGTTTGTTTTTTTTTTCAAATATAAATCTAACTTGTATCCAGTTTTTTACTCCAGTTGCATTGGTGATGATTTTAATGTTGATCATAGTTTTTCTGAAGTTTGAAATATTTGTATCGTATGCTGAACTTCTTTTGTATCGTATGCTAAACTTCTTTTGTATCGTATGCTGAACTTCTTTTGTATCGTATGCTGAACTTCTTTTGAAATTTTGTGTTTTTAAATCACTGATAGTATAAGCTATTTAGCAGTCCAGAAATAAACTTATTTGATGAGTAGAAATTAGGATTTAGTGTTATTGCACAAGTTTCAAATACAATGACTGTAAACAGTTGATCTCCAATCGTATTGGAAAAAAAAAATATTCATTTTTTTTTCTGACTGAATGTAGATATATTCCAGCTAATCACAAAGAATAAGGCTACTTGGATGCAATGGATTTAATGCTACCGGGATCCAAACAAACCACCAAAAGTTTAGCTTTTTAAAAGTTTTAAAGCCATAGCATTTCAAAATAAATATTTTTACATTTTTTACACTCAAAATAATATTTTTATATTTTTATACTCAAAATAAATATTTTTACATTTTTTTGAAACTTATGATTTTTATGAAATTCTTCAAAATTCTTTAAAATATTTATAAAATATTATAACCTTCTAAATAAGCTTATTTTGTACCTTATGGTACAAACCTTAAGGGTTTAAAAAAAAAGAAATTTTATTTTTCATTAATAAGCAAATATAAATTTTAAAATATTTTGTGTATTGTGATTTTTAAAGCCTTTTTTTGTTAATTATTTTCTTAGATATTTTTGTTTTATTTTAGAGTTTATAAAAGAATTAAGGTATTTTTCTTGTTTGTATCACTTATTACTAAACCTATTTGAAAATTATTAAAAGTGGTTAATATTTTTTGACAAAAATTATTTTTTTCAACTTTTGTTTAGAAAGGAAAGCCTATTTTAGGAGACATATCTAAATTATTTTTGAAAAGTAACGGGAATACACAAGCAAAAGGTTTGGCCAAGGTTGTTATTTTATTTTGATAGTTACAATATATTACATTATTTTGCTTGTATTTTATATAATATAATATAATTTAATGTCATGCTTTATATAGACCTTTTCATAAATAAACGTCTGAAAAACTTAAAACAAAGCTCAAGTTGTATGTTGATAAACAAACCATATGGCTTCTAATAAATAATATGTATAAGAATATCTTCTGAAAAACATTGTGTTGCCTTAAACTAATGCAATTGAAGTTATAATATTGAATGCAGAAAACTAAAGGTTTCTGGCATTGAATTTTTTATTTTCCAAAATATAAAAATTAAGTTTTTCCTTAGCACAACTGGATAAAGTGAAAAAACAGTTTAGATGGTTTTAATGTTACTGGCTCATTATATCATTTGTACTTGTATTGTAAGCCAGAGGAAGTTAAAAAGCTGTTTAAATTACAAAATGCTCTTTACAAAAAGGTGCTAAATTATTTCTTTGTCAGGAATAACTTTAAAGCTGGTGGAAAAGAAAGAAAACCATTGGCTTTTAGACAATTTCCTCCACCCAAAAAAAAGCGCAGACTGGTTATGTTGATCCTAAAAACAAGTAGTTGCTTAAATAGGGAATCATTCATCAACAACAATATAGAAATAAAACAGTTTCAAAATAAAAACAAAAAAAGAAAGCAAAAATGACAATAGAAGACAATAAATTTATTGACACAAAATTTCCAATAGAAATATATTTAGTGAAGTTTTTATACTTATTGATTCCAGAGAAAATGGAGAAAACATTATTTTATAGAATAACAAAAATTTACAAGAGAATGAAAGTAGTAGAAATTTAAATTCTGTTACATAAATAATAACTAGCATAAATAATAACTAGCACAGTTAAGAAGAAATATTATTAATGTGACATTTCTTTTTCCTGTATGTAAAAGACTTATGAGTAGTATTATTATAACTTGGTTGAGTTTTATTTAGAAAAAGCTGTTCAGCCTAAGCTTATGTACTTTATTAAATTAGATATAAATTAAACATGCTTCAGTCAGAAATTTTCCAATGTTAAGTATCATTCATTGTATAGATGTAAAAGTAGCTGTACCTTGATCATTAATAATGAATAAACTGTGATAATAAAAGTCAAACTACTAACAAACTCAACTCATAAATAATTACAAGTTGATTCTTCTTCAACTTAATTCAATGTGTTTTAGCATAAACTTGTAAATCCAACAAATACAACAGACTGAGTACATATTAATAAAATTTTTATGTTCATATTAGTCTATTTTTTTTTATTTTTAAGTTAATTTGGATAAAATAATACTGGTGAAGGATTTTTATTTTTTTACCATAGGCAATATTGTATTCCAAACTTTTAAATCTATTATGAGATTTATTCCATTATGAAAATATTGTAAAACTTTAATTTGAGAGTCTCGTAATGTACAATAATACAACACCTTTAATAGAATCGCCAAGGTCAAGTTTTAAAATACAAAAATAATAGAATCGGTAAGTAGCCACTTTTTAAAATAATAACTAGTATACTATTGTATTTTTTTTTTATATCAACTTTGACAGTTGGATTGTTTGTATCATCTTTTTGTTAAATAGTTAACTCTGGATCTTAAAATATATATGTATATATTTTAAGATCCAGAGAAATATTTTAAATTAAAATTTTAGAACACCTAAAAAATTTGATACGCGGAAGTTTAGTTATAAAAAGGTTTATATCTTATATATTGTATAAAAATAATTACCATAAAATATAATCTCTTCAAAAGTAAGCTTATTACACACACACACACACACACACACACACACACACCCACACACACACACACACACACACACACACACACACACACACACACACACACACACACACACACACACACACACACACACACACACACACATGGAAAACTATATTTTTTTATATAGCTCTCCTTCATTTGGTAAATCAATGTGTACTTATTCAACAGGACAGTATAGATTGATTAACCACATGTTGGAGCAAAATAATAGGCTGTTTTGTTTTCTGAACAAAGTTTTTTCCAGCAGTAAAATCTGTCCATAAAACAATTTTATCTAAATTAAGGATGCATTAAGATCTTAGGTTTTCTTGTATAACATTAAAAATTGCTGCCAATGTTTCCGGAGATAGATCAGTGGCTCTTGCTTTTGTCAAAATTTCATGTTTTATTCTTCCCAAGAACTACATTCCCTTCATAGACTTTAGAAAAAGTTGCGATGATTGAAGCCTGGGAACAAAAAAGCCTTCTAATTTTTGCCCATCCTACTCCAAACATGAAAGCGCAAATATAATTTTTTTTATTATTCTTAATTAAATTAATATTCATCAATAAATTTCAAATTTCATAGAATAATCTCTTAGCTTTCAAAAATTATTTCCATATAAACTTGTACATATATAAATAAACTTTTGCTTTGTCTCCTATTTATTTCTACCAATTTTTATATTTTACTTATTCTTTTTTTATTTTGTGATCATTAAATAATTTATTTAAAAAAACAAAATTTTAGGTCCATTAAGACTCAAGCAAGACTATCTTATATTCATATACGACATGTTATATTATGCATTGTTTTGTTGATGATGTCGTCTTGAAAATCTTATTAGAAATATTTTTTACTTTATAATTTAATAGAAAAATACACTTTTAAATGATTTACTGTGTAAAAAACCTCTTCATAACTATTATGACTGTGTAAGTAAATATACCAGGTATAACATAAATATAAATAATTATTAAACGTAATAAGTTATAACATTCTGAACATTATTTAGAATGTTATAATTCACTTTGCTTTACAATAATTTCAACACAATAATATATGTTTTTCAGAATAATGTATGTTTTTTTGGGCATGAAACTCAATTATGCTTAGAGTGTACAAAATTAATTTTGTTTCCAGATACAACATACTTACCATTTAGGAGTAAAAAATTTTTATTTGATTCTTGGAGTGTATATTTAGATATCAAGTTGGTGAGAACTTGAAAAATTTGGTACTCTTGACTCTCTGTGATACAACCCTGAGGAGGAAGGAGCCATGAGCTAAGTGAGATGCGCAGAGAGATCGCAGTTTCTTCTTCAGGAGCTTATAATTAAAGAAATATATAGACTCATCATAAATTATTGTGGTGAGAAAAATTTTGTCTTTCAGGGATACAAGATTCCCTCCAAGAGTTTTTAAACATAGATTTTCTTGAAATTCTAAAAACTCAAGATCAATGTGTAACTTGTAAAAATGTCACAAGCAAAATAGAGAAATGAAGTCACAAACAAAATAAAAAAGAAAATTGAATATTGTTAAAAGAAATGTCAGCGACAAAAAAATTTTCTTGAACTTATAAAAAAGAAGAATAAAACAAACAAAAAAGAAATGTTGGCCCTAACTGCAGCTTTTGACTTGAATTTTATCAGAGCAATGTAAGTCAGAGTAATGGATCTTTATATTGATCTATGCAGGAAGGGGGGGGTTATTATTATTGGTTTGATATTGTTTTTTTTAATTTTCTTTGATCTATGCGAGGGAGGGGGTGTTAAGCTTTGCTAATAGAACAATCTACCCACTTGTGCAATGAGAAAAAACAATAAAACAAGCTTTTAGAAAAAACACTCGACTGCTAACTGTGTTAACTCATTATGATATAATCAATTTTTAAAACATGCAAATGCATTTTCAGCATATTCAGTAGTAATAGGAAACAAGTGCATTTCAAATATCTAATTTAACCAAAGCATATGGTGCAAAGAAATCTAAACCAGAAAAAGTTATGTAAGCCAGTATTGTTCAGTTAAAAGTTATAAAGAAAATCCTGATATGCTCTATTTTAAGTAAGTATTGTATTTGTATTTTTCAAGCAAAAAACACTAGCTGCGTAAAACCAGCGGCTGATTTGTACCTACAAAGGCAAAAGTATCTTGCACCAAAAGACGTCTTCATTCCCTATGCAACAAAGGTTACATTTCAAAACAGCATCATAGTTTCTACCAAAATCTAAAGATTCAATTTAACTGAACCAACAACAAGTCATAAAGAAGCCATCGAATGATTGAAGAGGATGATATTGACTCTCCACTAATTGTGCAGAGTCAGTTTCAAGTATTTAAGAGAGTGTACACAAATAGATGATATAAAATTGCTTGACCTTATAAAATTAATACTTTTTTTTCTTGTAACACTTCTGTAACTTATTTGTAAAGTATTTGTTGAGTTTGTTAGTTGTTATGATTCTATCACTTATTGATTATTTCAAAAATAATATATCTAGTTATTTAATTGAATAACTAAATAAATTTTTACACTTCATTTTGCCGACCATACATTGTGACCTGACCAAATTATTATTATTTTTTATAATATTTTGTAAACGTTTTCTGCTATAGTGTTTTAAGCTTCTAATTAAGCTTCTAATATATATATATATATATATATATATATATATATATATATATATATATATATATATATATATATATATATATATATATATATATGTATATTCCATAAACGGGGGTTACTTTGAGTAGCTTTGAATACAAATCTATCAATCTATTTTTATCTTTGAGCAACCTTGAATACAAATCTATTTTTATCAAAGTATTAAAAATAGTTTATACTTTGATCATAAAAAAGTTTGTTAGCCTACTAAAGTTATGCTCTATTGCTATAGCGTAACATACTTTATTGTATATATTTTTTTGCATATAGGGTAATTTTGAATAAGGTTTAAAGTAACTCACTACATTAATAGTCAGAAACATGAAACAACTTAAAATTTCCTTTGTCATACATCTATTATATATAATATTATTATGATTAAAAGTTAAAATATTATGTGTATAAGCAGTTAGTCACACATATACACATTGTTTCTATGTGTGTGTGTGTGTGTGTGTGTGTGTGTGTGTGTGTGTGTGTGTGTGTGTGTACATCATATTTATATATAGCTGACCATTTATGGGCAACAAGAACCGAAAGTGAACTACCTAATGTACAATACAATCAAAGTACATTACAATCAAAGGGCGGTTTGTTTCTATTCACTTTTTTGACTGGTTTGTTATTGTTTTTTGTCAAATTGTAAGAACGTTTCTATTAGTTATAGCTTAAGCAATCTTTACAGTGAAAAGGTAATTGAATTACATACATGAATCTACTAAAGAAAATAGTATATTGTTGCAAAAAAAACAGTATCTTTTTCTATAACTGGTAGTTCCACCCATTTATTGCAATCTCTTGATGTTGCATTTTATGGACCTTTTAAAACGTAAGAAAAATTTTTTAGAGGAAAATACTTGATCAATCATAAACCTCTTGTTCAAAAAAAGCACAGACAATTACAAAAAATAAATCTCCTTTGCGCTTTATTTACTTACAAACATATTTGTCAAATCAAAAGGTAAATAGCAATATAGTAGCTATGAAAGTTGAAAGAAACATGGGAATTACCCATTAGATATAAGTATCATCTTCAATCATTTGCCAGATGGTAGTTGTAATTTTAGTACACCAAGCAATAATTGATGTACTTTAACATTTATTTCATGTTGGTGTGAAGGAAAAAGCAGGCTTAAAGGGGAAAAAAAATTACTTTTGACCTTGTTAAAACTATTTCTTTTGAGGATTTTTTGGCAAAGTGTAAAGATCTTCTACTTGCATAGTCTGTAAGTGAAACTGATGTAAATGAGACTTTTTTTTTGCTAGTCCACTAAAACATACCCATTAAAATAAAAAAAAATACTAAATGGGTGTTTGTTATGAAATCATATATTATTTTAGCAATGATAAGTTCCTGTAAAACTAGGCTGTTGTTTTTATTAAATTTTAAAACACAATAAGGCGTTTTTGAATAGGTTTTGCTTTTACAAAAAACTCATTCAAAGTTTTATTTAAATAGTCATTCAAGTTAACCCCATTTATGGGTTAACTTTGAATGACTATTTAAATTAATATTATACAAAATCCTTTTATTTAAATATTATTTTGAATTAAGATTATGTAAGAGTCAATCTTAGCTTCTATATTAATTTTTTTTTAATTTCGAATATTGTCAATAGTGAAGGTAAAACAAGTAAAATTATCTCAAAAACGTTCAAAATATAGGTTTACAGTATATATAATTTATCGTATCGTAAAAATATATATGATACATTCAATTTATTATAATAAAGTATACAAATCAATGATATTTTGTAATAAAAATCAACAATTAGTTGTTTTTTTTCTATTTGAGTTTTTATGAATTAGGTTGTTTAATTTTTTTAAAATAGGTTGTTCAATTTGGTGATAAAGACATTTACATCAATCCTGAAGAACTAAACATAGATGATTATCAGCAGTTACATCTAAATATTTCTGATGTTAGAAATAATGGTTCAGGATATCATGAGCTAAATACAGAAGTTATCAGGATTAAAGACATTACTAAGACATCAATAAGCTACAGAACTGTATCTCAAGATAGTTGCACATCTGAATACACTGTTCCTTCTAAATCAACAGATTTGAATCCAAAATCTTTCGTTCAGCTAATACAAGCGCAAAATAGTATCGACGAAGTGAATATTGAATCAGACAGTTTACAAAAATACCATTCTTACTTTACGATTGAGTGATCCTATCAAATAATAATGTGATCCTTTCTAATCATAATTTAAATTTTTAAAAGATGCATTAAAACAGGTTCGTTTTGTAAACGTTTGTTTAACTGCAACACGTTTATTGCGATTGTTTCAGGTTTTCTTTCATGTGTTTTGGCATAGAAGTATTTGGGTATTTAATTTTCTTCCAGACTCTTCTGGATTTTAATTCCTAATTGAATTTATAGGCGTTATTGTTGTACGTTCTTTAAATTATTTCATAAATTTGTTATATTTTTACTATTATTCTTTTTTGTGAATTAAAAATTGTAACTTAAACCTTCACTTGCTTTAAAGTTTTTTAATTATTTAGCGAAAGAATTGTGACGCTGAAAGGCGAAATTGCAGCTTACGGCTTTAAGCGGTTATACAGTATTAGAACTCCATTTTTTTTCTGTCCTATATTGGTGCAATTATGTTATATATTATTAAAGGAAGTCACGAAAAATTAATTAAAATATATTTTTTATTTAGACTTGCAAAAAAGTAATATAGTAAACAATGAAAGCTTTTTAACGACCTAACCAACGTCAATTATCCAAATAGCACAATATTAATTTTAGACACCCTTTATAGAATTATAAGTTTGAATAAGATGAATATTTACGTAGTAACCGCACGGTCGTTCAGACTTACTAAATAAGTGGAAAGTTATTATACGCAAGCGCAGTAAAGTTTGCATATTTTAAAAGTTTTAAAAATGGCTACGGATAACGAATATAAAAAAAATTCTCATTGACAACGAGCTATTTTTCTAATTTTTAGCAATTAAATATGGATTTAGCCGTTTATTAAAAGGAAATTATAATAAAAGTAACTTCTAGTAAACGATAAAATGTTTCAAATTAATCATAAAACCTCTAAAAACGAATAAAATGTAATTACAGCAATAGCTTTTTTAGTGTGTTTTGTTTATCGTTTTCAAATTGTTTTTAAAAAAATTTTGAGCGTAGAAATTTTTAAATTTTAACTTTTTCAGATAGATGAACTGTTGATCTTTCTTAAAATGTTTACTGATATTAGTATTCAATTTTTTTTCAAGATTAAAAGATATTTTTTTAACATTAACTTTTAGTAAGCTGTTGCTAGGCTACCCTATAATCACAATACATAATTACATTGATGTGAGTATATATATATATATATATATATATATATATATATATATATATATATATATATATATATATATATATATATATATATATATATATGTATATATATATATATATCGTATAACAAGAAATGACTTTTAAAGATATATGTATATATATATATATATATATATATATATATATATATATATATATATATATATATATATATGTATACATATATATTTATAAATTTCAATACGTATGTATGTTAGACCCATGGAAGTCGGCCTAACATACAATTTTTAATAAATTTACTTGTTTTTGTTAAAATCATTTCATATTTTAATACATTCGAATTTTAGAAGTTTTTTCCATTTCCAACTATTTATTGCTAAAATAATTAATAAAATACCTTATAATATTTTTTTAGTATTTAAATGAGCAAAGTTTGATCAAATCGAGGGGGCTGTTAATTTTATATGGTCATAACTTTTAGGCACAATAATACAAATAAATTAAATTGAAAAACTGAAGGTTTATTTAGTATTAGATAGAGAAACTAAGCATTTTATCAAGTCATTGTCATCATGTTTTGGCAGAGGCAGTTAGCTTGTAGGGGAATTTTTGTTAACAATTCATGAAATTTTTTGCAAAACATTTAGAATTGACCAAAGCATGACCATAATTAAATTTAGTTAAAAAAAAAAAATTTTAATGTATCTTGAAATTTTTAAGACAACTTCATGTTATTAGAGTAATAACATTCTAATAATGTTATTACTCAAGATTGTTAAAATTTATAATGATATGACCTTGAGCTAATTTCATTATAAACTATTTATAAAAGCAGGTTAATTTGATTAAAATAAATAGAGATTTTTTGAGTCAAGTCTTGAATCACTTATTTGATTTGATTTAAAATATTTAGGCTTAGCAGGGGCCTAATATATATATATATATATATATATATATATATATATATATATATATATATATATATATATATATATATATATATATATATATATATATCCACGACATGATATTAAATTAGTTTTTTGAGGTAGGTAAGAATTTTTAGGCCTTAAATTAGAGCACACATTGTTTTTGTCACTATTTTTTTATAAAACATTAAATTCAAAATCAACTAAATCGAAAACTAAAATGCTTTTATTTTTATTTTTTTAATACAAGTAAAATCTATATGCATTATGAAAATCCAAAAAAAGATCTAAACATATTGATTTAGATACCAAAAAAAAAAATAATAATTAAACATTTTATCTTAATTTAAAAAAACAATCGGACTAAAGTTAAGTATATGTTTCAAATAATATATTAAAACAATAATTTACCAAAGAAAAACCATAAAAAAAGCATTTCAATATTTTGCATATCCACCTTTCTTAAATAGGGATTGAAGATGGCAATTATCTAAAATTTCAATTTTTCTATCAGCATTAAGTCAACCTTCAAATAATTAATAGCATTTAAGTCCTGCATAATTCATGTAGGCCCAAAAGTCTACACTGGCATTACCTTGCTTGGTTGGTTTTCATGTATAATTCAAATCAAATTACTCTTGAGGTGATCGCCATAGCAGAACACGAAGCAATAACATATTTTTGCATATCTACCTCAACATTCATTTTGTCTGAGAATATAACATTTCACCACTTGCTGTCGTGTTTCATCAAGCAAATTAATTTTATTAATTAAAAACGTTTATCTCATTGTGTTGCCCACCAGATTATCCAGACCCATAATGTCATCTGTTTCAGTATAAGGTTTTCAAATATGTGAATATTCAATATTTAACTTATTGGCTATTTGACGAGGAGATAACACTTGGTTTTAAATAAAAATAGATTTGTAACATGTTTTTTCAGATAATCTCAACCATGATTTTGGAGTTTTATGCTGTATTACTTCACTCGTTATGAGGCTTTTTCAATATCTAATTTCTTTGTGTTTTCATCAGTACTATTTCAAAATTAGAAATTTAGAGTTAATAAATGCTAATGAAAATCAAATTAAATTATTAAAAAAAATATTACATTAATTTTAAAAATAAAGCAGTAAGCATTAATTTTTAACGAACAAAAAAAATTTAAAAAAATATAGTCGATGTTATAAAGTTATATATAATTAGGGATACAAATGAAATTTTATGGTAACAACTTGTCCATTAAATAAAATACACGATACTTATTAATTAGAAATAATAAAATATTTAAAAAGCTAACTAGTTTTTAAAGTAATTTTAAGCAAACAGGATATATAAGTAAGAATGCTCTAATTAATGGCCAATGGTGTATGTATAATATATTTACATATATATATATATATATATATATATATATATATATATATATATATATATATATATATATATATATACACACACATTTATATACATATATATATATATATATATATATATATATATATATATATATATATATATACTGTATTGTATTACATAGTATACTATGCTTGGACATATATTATTATTTTTAATATTTTATTATTTTTCAGAGTTTGATTTATATGCATTAATTGTGTTTGCATACAATTGTTGTAATCGTGTTGTAATATAATATGCACACAAATTTATTGGATACAAATTGTATATAATATATAGTTAAATGATTATGATATATTATAAAACTATATTTTATAGTTTATATTACCTATATTATAAAAACAAATATAAACTAAATACTATATAAACTATGTAACATAATACATTTATATTTAACTTATATATAAATATTTTATCTTACATACTTAATAAGTAACTTGTGAACTTTTTAGCCTTTTTTTTTTTTGCATTTATAGTATAGTCATTCACATATAATTATATATTATAATCATTCACATATAATTATATATATATATATATATATATATATATATATATATATATATATATATATATATATATATATATATATATATATATATATATATATATATATATATATATATATATATGTATATATATATATGTATATATATATATATATATATATATATATATATATATATATATATATATATATATATATATATATATATATATATATATATATATATATATATATATATATATATATATATATATATATATATATATATATATATATATATATATATATATATATATATATATATTAGCTATATACCTTAATATAAATGTATCATACATCTACAAAAGTAGTGTTGGGTGAATTCTATTTTTGTTCAGAAAAAAATTGAATACTCAGATCTGAAAACAATTTCAAATCAAGATAAGATTATTCGAAATAAAAAAGTAAAAATTATTAAATTGTATCGCTCAGATTTTTAGAAAAACAGTTTTGAAAATGTAAACAAATCACGCTTTTAACAGTCAGATAAATGTAGCAGAGAATCACAGTTTTTTATATATTTAAACATCTTTATATTGTTTTTATCATTTTTGAATCAACAATTCAATTATCTTTATTATTATTTCATTCTATCAAGAATATGCAAATAATAACTACTAAGTAAAACTTTAAAAATATTGTTGCTACTCAGAAAAAATTTTGGTATCTAAAGGCCGTCACCATCTTTAAAATTATAATATTTGAATTTGACACTGCGCTTGCGTATAATAACTTTCCACATCTAAACTACCGTGACCGCAACACTTTAAAAAATGTTTTGAAAACAAAAACGGCCGTTAAAGATGTTTATAGTAAATGTGTTTTGAAACTCTTTCTTATGGTAATTTCCTCGATTTCTTGTCATTATAGCTCATGCACGTGCTCATTATCCTCCTGAACAATATTGTTCATTATCCTCCTGAACTTATTGTAAAAAAAATTCATGATTTATGTAGTATATTATGTATACACTTGTAGTTTTCAAACATGACTAAATATTTGATGACGGTAGATAATAGAATCAAAAACCTATTCCGACGTTCAAAGTTTTTTGTAAATTAATGACCCGTAAATAAATCATTGTTTTTAATAATTGCGTAGCGTAAAAAATTAAGTATATAATTACAATTTACTTCAACATAGATACCCAGTGGGCACGGATGCAAAAAAGACGTCTTTTAAACGTCTTATACATGTTCTGGACGTCTTTTGAACGTTCAAAAGACCTCTT